TTTATTTATTTAACTATGTATTTATTTTAATAATATATAAAAAAATAAATTTCAAAATATATAAATTTTATACAGATTATTATATTAAAAATTGAATGTAAATAACTATATTTTAAAAAAATAAAATTGCAATAAAATATGTAATTCTTGCTAAAAAAATACAATTTAACAATTTTATTTAGTATAAACCCTTTAATTAACTATGTGTTTATTTTATATACAAAAAATAAATTTCAAAATTAGAAATTTTATACAGATTACTATTTTAAAAATTGATTGTAAATATCTATATTTTAAAAAAATAAAATTACAATAAAATATAAGTAATTCTTGTATGCAATTTAAAAAAATATAATTTAACAGTTATATTTAATACAAATGAGTATATTATATAAATAATTCTTATTGTAGGTGCAATACTATTATTAAAAAAAATTCATTATAATTAAGTTTTACATATAAAAATTTTATGACTAAGAAAATATTACAATTATATGATTTTAATTTATAAAGAGAGGTCTACTTTTCTCTGAGATTTGGCTAATTCATCTAGAATCAAACTTTTATCTAGAATAATCTCCTTATAAATATTTAATAGGGCTAATCCATTTAAACGGTTTTCACCGGTGCTATTTCTTAAATAGGTTTTTAACCTTTTCAAAATTGAAAAAGATTTTTCATTAGTGCAGGTATTAATCGGTAAAGTAGCTAAAATAAAAAACAATGTTTTGATATTGGGCAGGGAATCTAAAGTGCAATTACACATGGAAAGGGCCTGCAAAGCATTTTTTGGTCTCAAAGAGTACTCTATTCTACCAAGATTTTTATACCAAAATTCGACATCACAAAGTAACTTATCATACGACCCTAATAAATCATCAGAATAAAACTCTGAGATGTTCTTAATATCCTCTCGCGTTTCAAGTGTAATCAACAATTCAGACTCAACCGGCAAAAGAAAATAAAAGCTTTTTAAAATAAAATTGTGACTTATAAATCTTTCCTTTAATTGAAATAAAAATGTATCAATAAGTGGAATAAAAATGTTAATTTTATAAAAATCCTCAATCGTAGATGCATCAATATTTGAGCGATTGGATTGTCTAGAAACTACTCTAGGTTTAAAAATTTCAATCCCAAACATATTAGCGATCTCCTTTACTTTCTCATATATTTCGTGAAATTTTTCATCCACATTATCTCTGATATTTGTTAATATTTCAACAATATCCTTTGCCCTATTCATAACCTCCCTTAAATCCAAATCAATTTTTTGTAACATTTTGCTAAAATCATATGTATAATTAAATAAAAAATAAACACATTGAATTGAAATTAAAAATTGAGGCTTCGTAATAGCCTGTAAAAGATTTTCCGCATCTGCGGAATCTTTTTCTTTGCGTAATATGTATGATTCCAGTGCCGCAAAAATAACCTCATATAACTCGATGAAAACCTTCACCGATTGTTGTCTTTCAATGAATCTTGTGGGACAAAATCTTTTTAATTTTTTTTTTGAATTTTTTGAATCAATTTCATCGAACGTTTGGGTAAAAATCTCCCTCTTCTTGGGTGGGGTAAAGAAATCACAAACCGACGATATTGTTTCTAAATTTTGAAAAATATATAAAAATTATATAAAGATATCTATAATACATAATAAAATCTAATAAATTTCAATTAAATCAAAATCTTTTTACGTAAACTGTTCCGGATGTCTCTAATTTCACATGCCTCAGTTATCATCAAATTCAGGCAATGTGAACTGCAGTGAACATAAAGAGCTGTGCTATAAAGCTCTCTAATTCTTGACTGGACCCCTTTAACATGGCCACTCATCGAGGGAGCTCCATCGTACCCTTGACCTCTCAGTAGATTTAAATTTAAATCCAGGTTTTGAAGTGATTTAATAATTTGATTAGCATTCGTTTCTGACTTAGTGTCTGGTAATTCAATAAATTGAACAAATAGTTCCTTCATTTTATAATTACCTGATTCCATATCAATAAACCTTATTGTTATGGATAGTTGTTCAATATTACCAATATCGGAAGTTTCATCCGCCAAAACACTAAAAAATGGTGATGCTTTGACTTTTGAAGAAACTTCCTTTAATATAAACTGATTGCATATTGATATTATTTCATTTTGAATAGTGGCACTTAGGTAAGTAGCATTTTTAGAGGAGCTTTCAAAAAGCTTTAGGTAGTTGTCATTATTATTACATAAAAATTTCAATAATTCCTTGAAATTTCCTTCATTGTGAGAAGGGGATGTAAGTGTTAGGGGGCCAGGAGATATCCTATGAGCTCTTAACGCCAAGCCCTGCCTCCCTAACCAAATGATAGCATCAATAATTATAATCTTGATCGATTTTTTGTAACAATATCAAAATTTTTTTTATTCATTGGATATTGATATCTTTTGATTCATTGAGATTTCTTTTAAAGAATCCATTATCTCACAGGAATTAAAATGATATATATTTTTTTGATGATAATTAAAATTTTCGAGCGCATCTTTCCATCTTGTGTACACCTGACTTACCAATGTTTTGAGTTTTTGTAACCCATTTCCAGCATATCTTGGGGAAAATATGACGCAAACTTTACAAAATGCGCCCTTTTCATCGGCTGAGTAAGCAAGCCACTTATATTTGTTAAGCCAGGATGCTTGAAAGGTTAAATTTCTTTTGCCCAAGGCAATGGAAATTTATAACATTTGTCAGGTATCCAAATATTTTCAACAGCTAACAATTTTTCATTATCATTTTTAAAATGAAAATTTAAGTTAAGTGAAACATCTTTTTGAGAACGGTGTGGTATTTCTATATTTTTTTTTAGATTTTAAATGATATATTTCAATATGAATTTCAATGTTAAGAGCTGAGCAGCACAAGAAAAAAATCTGGATTATAAAAAATGTATCTCAGATAGATATCAAAGTTTCTTAATAAAAATTTAAAGACAGATACAAGTAGAAGGAAATTACTATAGAATATCATTACCAATTTTAATTAATATTTTTATATTTGTAGGATGATTTACACTCATGGAAGTGAAGAAGGTAGTAATATTTAAATTATGAAAATAAGTTCCTAAATATTATAAGCTGCCCAAGATTGTATATACAAAAGATTTTAAGAAAATAATTATGTTCTTCACAAATAAATAATAAAAACTGTATTTTATAAACTATTCTAGTTTAATTGGTAATGATAAATCATCTGTATCTAAGATTCATTTTTTCACAACAAATCTGTATCTAGATTATTTTTCTGTAGGGCCTGCCCAACTCTGTTTGTATTGTAGATACAAGTTTTCAATACTGCTCAACTCTGTTTGACTTATAATGTACTACCTTTTGTAAAATAACACAAAAAAATGACTAACTTTAAAATTATAACTAAATATCGTACATTGCAAAATTTTAATAACTCAAAATGAAAATAGTATAATTTACAAATAAAAAAAATGGAATTAAAATAAATACTATACCATCATTTGATGATTTTCCAGCCAAATCAACTGATAGCTCACATGCTTTTGTAACACATAATGTTTCTATTTTTAATTAAAAAATATTAGAAATTATAAATAATTTAGAATATATACCATCATTTGATGATTTTGTAGCTAACTCATCATTGGTTTTCCCATGGAGTGGTAATGGTATGTCTGGTCTTTCTAATTGCAAGATTTAAATAAAAGATATTATAAATAATACCATTACCTCGTCATCTGAGGATACAACGAAAACCAACTCAACTGATGGCTGATTTTTACTAGCAAGAGCAACATCTATATCTATATATATTTCTAATTCAAATTACACAACTTAAATTTTTATATACCTTTTTCTTTTTGTTGTTGACGAAAAAACTTACGGATATCCATATTTAAAAATTATAAAAATTAAAATTTACAAACTATCTATATAGTTTAAAAATATATATTTAATAATTAAATTTATAAATATCTAATTTAACTATGCCAAGCCAGAAAATATTTACAAAATATCTTTATTGTTATTTAATAAATTTAACTATGCCAGAAATTATTTACATACAATATATCTTTATTCTTTTGTTGTTATTTAATATTTTAGTTCATATAATTTATATATATTTTTAAACGATGGGATCATTTAAAATTAAAACTCCTTTTTTTATAAATATATTTCATTGTGATATTCATATTCATATTGTATTATATATAATATATTATCTTATTTCTCTAAATTGAAACCGTTTTTTAAATATAATTATTTGCAATAAAAAAATAATAATTTTTTATTTTATAAAAAAAAAAAAAAAAATATTAAAAAAAAATTTTTTTTTCATGGGGGGGGAGGGGGGTTTCGACCTCAAACCCCCCCCCCCCTTTGTCTACGCCACTGGGCTTATTTAAGATATTCCTTTATTTGATTGTTTTGGTAAAATATGTTGTAAAAATTTAGATATGAATTATAAAAAAATATATTAATACTTTGAATAAATTCGCAGGAAATTAATAATTAGATCGATCTGTGGGTTGTTAGGTAGTGTTAACCATCACCCAATATTATATTAATCATAACTATAATATAATATAATCTTATAACTATTAACTCATGTAAAAATTTTTATAAAAAATATTAAGGCCCGGGCAGGGTTTAACAATCTTAGGCCCGGCCCGGGTTTAACAATCTTAGGTCCGGCCCGGGTTTAACAATCTTAGGCCTGGCCCGGATATATTTAAAAAAAACTGGCCCTGCAGGTCTCTGACGATAATAGAATAGGGCGTAGATCCACTTATTTTATTTATTACTACTGAATTACAAGGTTTGTTGGTAGCCTTTAGAAAAAAATCGGCATAATTATATGAAGTGGGCTTACATATAATTCACCGCTCACTTTGGGAAGGTTTTATGATCAACGTGCTAGATAAGATAAGAAGAGATGCAAAAAAATGTTATTTTTTCGCACAAGATATTAAATTACATTGTTTATGCATCAAAAATTTATACTGGAGCTGAACCCTTTGATAATTATATTAATTGTTTGTATGACATAAATAACAATAAAGAAAATAAGTTGCAGAAAAATTTAAATTTTAACTTCTTGGCTATTCAACCCAATATAAAATGGGGCCCACAGAAAAAAATGATTACTAATCCGTACCTTCAATTAGACGAATTAGTTTCTCTTATTGAAACATTACCAAATTATAGAGTTTTTAAAAAGGTAATATTTAATATTATTTCTATCTTATATAAATATATGAAGCTAGTTGTACCCATAAAAGATTACAAAAACGATTCTATATTTGGTAGAGGAAAAGTGGAGGAACTCACAGAAATAATTAAACATGATACCAATATTGATGGAGTGGTCATAGGCCTAAGTTCAATAGATGTTGCTCAATATATTACATTACAAAAGATATGGAGGAAACCATTATATGATAAGTATGTATCATAATATCTTTGAAAGCAATATTTTAATGCTAAGAACCCACTATTACGTCTTAAGTTTCTTTGCCAATCTTAAGAATAATTATATAATTTAATCAAAATTACTAGTGTACTAAGTTATGAAAATATATTTTTGCAATTTGTAATCTTTGCTAAATTTAGTTTGTTATATTCTATTTTATCATTTAATACGTGTTATCATATACCTTACTTTAGGCATTTAAATAACTATATCAAGATAGCCAAATATTATTAAGCCTCAATATTTAGCATATGACCAATGTTTAGCCCTCTTTTAGCGAAATCTTGAAACCTATATAAATTTCTTTTGGAAAAATTGATTTTACCATTTTTTTGAAGTGCCCAAATCAAGGTTTTTTATAACACTGATATTATATAAAATCTGACCAATATCATCAAAATGCATAGCAACTACTACTCAATTCATATATAAGCTATATTACTCTATTATTATTATAATAAATAATTATTTCTCCACAATATTTTGATATTACTATCATTACATTATATCAGAGACAAAAAATAAGATATTTGCTTTCTATTTTAATACAAAAGTTTCACCATTTTTATATATTTATATACATGTTCTTTATAGATATAGAATTATATTGCAAATTTTCAAACATTATGCTAAAACTAATGAATCTCGCCTACAAATAGCCTTAGCTGAAATACCTTATTTAAAAATGAAATTAAGAATGAACCAACAGATAGTTAAAATGAAGGAAATAGATCCAACATTGGATATATCATCCATTTTTCATGAAAACATTTATTTTAATAATGATAATCGTACATCATTCCATGAAAAATTAGAAATTTTAAACCAACGGGAAGATAAATTAAAAAAAAGTCTTGAAAAAATTAAGCAAGGTAGGGAAAATCGTAAAATGTCAAACTCATCATCTCTTCAAAATCCTTATCCTATAATAGCAGTCATTGGATACACAAATTCAGGTTTATTTTAAGATCATTGTCTATTTATTATTTATGAAGGCCTAAAAAATGGAATTATTTTTTTAAAACTTAAGAATTAGTATCTACCGTGGCCCCTACAACGGAAGGGGGTAAGAAGCAACTACTTCAGTAAATTTGAGTGGGGGTACCTTTTTTTAAATTTTCTTTATTATTTAATTCTTTTACTATTTTGTTACATCCATCATGATCAAGTGATTTCTGGTTTATAAATGTAATAATAAGACCCCCCTCGTAGATTACATTTAACAGGTGCTTTTCAATCATAGTTGATGGCACATATGATGTTTCGAAATCAGAAGCAATAGCTTTGATAGTAAGATATGTTGAAAATAGTGAGACATTGAAGCATGTTGAAAGACTGATTGACATATATTGTACGGGACCACAGATCTCGATATTAAGCATAATATAATATCCAAATTTGGCTCGATGAATTTACCCCTTGAATTTCTAGTTGGGCAAAGTTATGATGGCGCCTCAAACATGAGTGGAAGAATCAATGGTGTGCAGGCCTTGATTAGAGCAGAGGCGCCAAAGGCAGCTTTTATTTGGTGTTATTGTCATCGATTAAATTTAATCATTGTTCAATTATGCCAATCAATTAAAGAACTTCGAATTGTTCTAGGAATACTAGATGAGATTTATATCTATTTTAATGGTGTAAAAAGATATGAGGTACTCAAAAAATGTCACTGTAATGATCTGAAAAAATCGCAACGATTTCTACGCATCAAGAATACCACTCGGTAATAGTACCTTATTTTAGAGATCTGCAATTCGGGCCTACTTTTTTAAAAAAAATTCGGGTTGGGTCGGGCCTAATATTTAAAAAAAAAAATTCGGACCGGGCCGGGCCTTGAAAAAATTTTTAAAATATAATTAATAAATTGGGTCCAATTTTTTTTTGAAAATAAAGATATTTAATTTTATTTGTAGAAACTAGACGCCATATGGCGTATATCTAAAATAAATATATAATTAAACTTTTGAAATTTTTTCTAAGAAACAAGGCGGCAACAATTTTTATTTGTAAAAAAAAATATTTAATTTTATTTAATTACAAACTAGGCGCCATATGTCATGTCATATATCTTTTATTTTGGGTATAATAATTAAAAAATTTTATTTTATAAAAATTAAATTGTAATTTTTTTTATAAAATTTAACTATAATTTAAAAACGGATTTATTTTTTTAAAAAATCATATAAAAAATGGAACATATATTTGTAAGCCCCATTTAGGTAAAAGCAATATATGGGAAAATTTTGAAGACATATTTGATGATAAAAACAAAAAACTTGATTATGACCAATGCCAAAAATGTAATAATATATTACAATATAAAAGTACATCTGGAAATTCTCATTTAAGACGTCACAAGTGTGTTAAGAATGACGATTCCTCTATTCCTAAAATAACTAGATATATTCAAAAGAAAACCATAGATATAAATTCTTCCTTAACTATTAAAAAGAAAATATGTGATACCATGATCTATTATTGCACCAAGGTCATGCGTGCGTTTGATTCGATAACTGGAGATGGCTTTATAAAAATGGCTCAAAATTTTATTCAAATTGGCTCCATTTACGGTAATATTGACTGTAGCGAAATTATTCCCCATCCAACTACTTTATCGAGAAGTTCTATAGTTATGACGGATCAAATTAGAACAAATTTGGTTAATAAAATAAATGTTCAATTATTTGATAAAAAGTGCTCTACCACCACTGATATGTGGACAGATTCCTTTAAAAAGTTTTCCTATTCAACTGTTTCAATTCATTATATCGAAGGTGAAACCTTATATAAACATGTTTTATTTACGAGTAAGTTTATAGAAGAGAAAAAAAACCGCCGCGAACATACATAAGGAAATGCTACAAAATTTTGCTGCAATTGGAATAATTCCCGATCAAGTGAAAAATATAATATTTATATCTGATCAAGGAGCTAATATAATTAAAGCCCTAGAAAAATACACCAGATTAAATTGCAGCGCACATCTGTTAAATATAGTTCTTCGAAATACCTTTAAGAAACAATCTTTGAAAATTATCGCTCCTAATATATATCAAACCCTTATTTCTGCTAAAAAATTAACCGTGTATTTTAAACAAAGCGGCATGAATCAATATTTAGACAAAACATTGCAACAAGATATCGAAACAAGATGGAATTCGAAATTATATATGTTGAAATCTATTTATAACCAATATGATGACATCGTCAATTTTTATCATCCAAGGGAGATATTAATAAAATGGAAAACTTGGAGAAATCTATTTTAAAAAATTTGATTGATATTTTACATCCTTTTGATAAAGATACTAAAGAACTAGAAGGAGATATTAATCCTACTTTATATATAGTACTGCTATGCTTTAATAATATTCTTCACGAGGATTTAAATGATACTTTTCAAAACAATGAAATAAAACAAATAAAAACCAATTTAAAAATTTTTTTATTATCTAAATTTAAAATCGATATTTAGCATAAAATAGCGACATTTTTATGGCCCAGATATAGAAAATTAAGAATGTTATCATCAATGGAAATATTAGAAGTAGAAAATTCAGTGAAGAATTTTGTAAACCTTCAATTGATATTATAGATTTGGATATACAAGGCGTTTCTCAAATTATGGAATCTCCTAAAAGATCTAAAGGTACATTTAAAATTGTTCTATTTATCTTATTTTTATATATCAGACTATGAATATGAAAGATGGGAGGACAATGAGGAAGAATTTGAAAAAAAACAGATGAGCTTGAAATTTATAAGAATTTGAATATAAAAGAGAATATAGAAAATATAGATCCAGAAAAAGATATATTAAAATGGTGGAGCAAAAATGAAATTAGATTACCAAAGATGACGAAATTGGCTAGAAAAATTCTAGTTATTCCTGCAACGTCCACAACGTCAAAGAGAACTTTTTCAAAGACTGGAAAGCTATTAGAAGAAAGAAGAAATAGACTGAAACCTGAAAATGTTGATGCTTTGATATTTTTAAATGATAATTATAAATATGAATCTAATATATAGATGTGTAATTTAAAATTATAATTATTATTTGTTTGGTTTAAAGTATTTTGATAGTATTTTAAATAAATAATTAAATACTAGATAAATTGTCTGTCTAGTGTCTACTAAGAAAATACAAAATGTTAAATATAAAAAATTAACTAAAAGCTAAAAAAAATTAATTTCTATCGGGCAGACAAATTTTTACTTTGGGATGAATAAAAAAAAGTTCGGGCCGGTAAAAATTTCTAAAAAAAAATGGGGTTCTGGCCGGGCCGGCAAAATTTTCTAAAAAAAAATTCGGGTTCGGGCGGGGAAAACTTTTTTAAAAAAAATTTCAGGCCGGGCCGGGCTTAATTTTTATTCATCCCAAAGTAAAAATTATTTGTCCGCCCGATAGAAATTAATTTTTTTTAGCTTTTAGTTAATTTTTTATATTTAACATTTTGTATTTTCTTAGTAGACACTAGACAGACAATTTATCTAGAATTTAATTATTTATTTAAAATACTATCAAAAATACCTATAAACCAAACAAATAATAATTATAATTTTAAATTACACAACTATATATTAGATTCATATTTATAATTATCATTTAAAAATATCAAACCATCAACATTTTCAGGTTTCAGTCTATTTCTTCTTTCTTCTAATAGCTTTCCAGTCTTTGGAAAAGTTCTCTCTGACGTTGTGGACGTTGCAGGAAAAACTAGAATTTTTATAGCCAATTTCGTCATCTTTGGTAATCTAATTTCATTTTTGCTCCACCATTTTAATATATCTTTTTCTGGATCTATATTTTCTATATTCTCTTTTATATTCAAATTCTTATAAATTTCAAGCTCATCTCTTTCTTTTTTTTCAAATTCTTCCTCATTGTCCTCCCATCTTTCATATTCATTGTCTGATATATAAAAATAAGATAAATAGAACAATTTTAAATGTACCTTTAGATCTTTTAGGAGATTCCATAATTTGAGAAACGCCTTGTATATCCAAATCTATAATATCAATTGAAGGTTTACAAAATTCTTCACTGAATTTTCTACTTCTAATATTTCCATTGATGATAACATTCTTAATTTTCTATATTTGAGGCATAAAAATGTCGCTATTTTATGCAAAATATCGATTTTAAATTTAGATAATAAAAAAATTTTTAAATTGGTTTTTATTTCTTTTATTTCATTGTTTTGAAAAGTATCATTTAAATCCTCGTGAAGAATATTATTAAAGCATAGCAGTACTTTATATAAAATAGGATTAATATCTCCTTCTAGTTCTTTAGTAGTTTTATCAAAAGGATGTAAAATATCAATCAAATTTTTTAAAATAGATTTCTCCAAGTTTTCCATTTTATTAATATCTCCCTTGGATGATAAAAAATTGACAATGTCATCATATTGTTTATAAATAGATTTCAACATTTATAATTTCGAATTCCATCTTGTTTCGATATCTTGTTGCAATGTTTTGTCTAAATATTGATTCATGCCGCTTTGTTTAAAATACACGGTTAATTTTTTAGCAGAAATAAGGGTTTGATATATATTAGGAGCGATAATTTTCAAAGATTGTTTCTTAAAGGTATTTCGAAGAACTGTATTTAACAGATGTGCGCAGCAATTTAATCTGGTGTATTTTTCTAGGGCTTTAATTATATTAGCTCCTTGATCAGATATAAATATTATATTTTTCACTTGATCGGGAAATATTCCAATTGCAGCAAAAATTTGTAGCATTTCCTTATGTATGTTCGCAGCGGTTTTTTTCTCCTCTTTAAACTTACTCGTAAATAAAACATGTTTATATAAGGTTTCACCTTCGATATAATGAATTGAAACAGTTGAATAGGAAAACTTTTTAAAGGAATCTGTCCACATATCAGTGGTGGTAGAGCACTTTTTATCAAATAATTGAACATTTATTTTATTAACCAAATTTGTTCTAATTTGATCCGTCATAACTATAGCATTTCTCGATAAAGTAGTTGGGTGGGGAATAATTTCGCTACAGTCAATATTACCGTAAATGGAGCCAATTTGAATAAAATCTTGAGGCATAGGCCATCTCCAGTTATCGAATCAAAGGCACGCATGTCCTTGGCGCAATAATAGATTATGGTATCACATATTTTCTTTTTAATAGTTAAGGAAGAATTTAAATCTATGGTTTTATTGGAATCGTCATTCTTAACGCACTTGTGACGTCTTAAATGAGAATTTCCAGATGTACTTTTATATTGTAATATATTATTACATTTTTGGCATTGGACATAATCAAGTTTTTTGTTTTTATCATCAAATATGTCTTCAAAATTTTCCCATATATTGCTTTTACCTAAATTAGGCTTACAAATATATGTTCCATTTTTTATATGATTTTTAAAAAAAATAAAATCCATTTTTAAATTATAGTTAAATTTTATAAAAAAAATTACAATTTAATTTTTATAAAATAAAATTTTTTAATTATTATACCCAAAATAAAAGATATATGACATGACATATGGCGCCTAGTTTGTAACTAAATAAAATTAAATATTTTTATTTTACAAATAAAAATTGTTGCCGCCTTGTTTCTTAGAAAAAATTTCAAAAGTTTAATTATATATTTATTTTTACATGCCATATGGCGTCTAGTTGCTACTTGCTACAAATAAAATTAAATATTTTTATTTTACAAAAAAAAATTGGACCCAAAATATTAAAAAAAAATTTTTTTTTTACTTTATAAAACTAATTAATCTAGAATTTAATCAAATTTTAAAATTAATTAATCAAAAATATTTATGGATAGTACTTGCTTTGTGGTTTTAAAATAAAATTCAAATTATATGAAAAAAATTCGTTTTTACCTTTTAATAATGAATAATCTTGAATCTCCAGGTTCGTATCCTGGTAATACGGTTAACAACTGACAAAAAAAATATGTGGAACAGAAAAAATAAGAAAAAGAAATCTACTAAACTTAATTCCGAAAAATCTAAGTTAAAAACTACTAACTAGCCTTCCAAATCTAATACTAAAAATCAGGGGCGGAGGCGACGCTACAGCCTCATGGGCATTTTTTTATAGCGGCCTCATTTATATGGGGTCTTCGTCCCCATACTTCCATTTTGTGGGCCTTCGGCCCGCTTTTGCCCGGTCTTCGACCGGGTTCCCTTAAATGGCTTCTTATTTTTTGAAAATAAGTTAAAACTTTTTACATTTTTAGTAAAAAAAAGAATAGTATTATACAATAATCATATATTTTATTTTAAAAAAATGCACATTTAAAATCATATTCATTACCTATATAAAATAATATTCATCTAAAATATATATTTTATATTAGATTTACAACGATATTGCACTATAAAATCAAATCATACATCACATGTTAAATATAAAAAAAATGCATACTCAATATATTAAATCAATTAATTATAAATATAAAATTATTGCAGTCATATAATATTACAGAGAATAAAATTGCTGCCCTTTTATAAAATCAGGCACCGATCATATTGTAAATAATATTAATAAGATTCTAATAAAAGAATAAATAAAATATATAAATTTACGTTAATAAATCTCTCATTAACTTTGAACCTTTGCGCAAATATACAGGAATATCTTCTAGTTCAATCTATGCTAATAGTTCTCGTTCAACTTACATCATTAAAAACGCTTCTTATTTTTCTTGGTCAATATTAGCTCTCAGCTTATTTTTATCATTTTTAATTTACTAAATGCTTTTTCGCAATTAACCTGCGTAAATGATAAAGTTAAAATGTATTCATAAGCCAAAAATAAATTAGTGTCACTTGTATTCTTATTGTATCTTTTAAGAATTTCATACACGCATATTAAACACTTGGTACATTTATTATCACACTCTGATTTATTATCATATTGTAATATTAATATTCCATCTTCTTCATTTGACTCCTCACTTGTACATGCGATATCATCGTCCGTTTCTTTTAATTCTGCTACCAAATCTTTGAATACACTGAATGAACATAATTCGTTTAAAAATTTATCACTCAATATATATGTCAATTGTGCCAGTTTTTCCAAGGCCTTTTCAGAAATACCTTTACTATTTATTTCATCACAATGTCTTGGATACAAATATAGCACATTCAAGATAAGCTCTCAATTCGCAGAAAGTATTTCCGGAAAGGACTAAGTTCGAATCTATAAAGGTCAATCGATTCTTGAGGACGTTCATCTTGACATTTGTCACTATATATTCTCTTCGCTCGTCTTATTCGATCTTTTTACAGAGCATTTTCCAGATACTCTCCGAGAGCTATAAATATGAAAATGTTTCATTTAAATTAGCCGCCATTTTATTGCTTTATTTTGAATCGATGTAATAATCGATGATACAGAAGATTTAGCATCTTCTTTCATTTTCCATGCTGACAAAGTACCTAATTTTTTAGTTTGAAGATATGACAGTGGCCCCATTATTTTAAAAATTTCCAAATATATTATAGCTGTACTTAGAGTCATAAATTTACATAAATTATCTAGTTTTTGTCTCAAATTATTTATTATCTATTATAAATTGAAGTGCCTTTATCGTTATTGGGAGCAAGCTCTCTTTATATCCATCTAAGGGCTTTTTCACGTGCCCACCACCTTTTCTCACCCATTATTTGCAGTCTACTCTACTTATTTTGGCCAGATGAATTATTCTGTTTTACCCAAGCATCTATCCTTTTATCTGATTCACCGATCTGGATTTTATTTGATTTCAATGAATTAAGAACAAGAAATGTTGGCTATATTATTTCTACAATAAATCAATGTATAAAAATATTAGCTTTCACTCTACTCAAACGGAAGCGTTTTTACTTCATTTGAAAAAAACAAAGAAAAGAACGTGGTAATGATGTGTAGCAGCGACGTTATTGATATATTATTTAAAATATAGTAAACGACATGACAATTCTCAAGGAATGTGATATTTAAATAATAGAGATATCATTAAAAATAAATAAATAATAAGAGAAAATAATGTGAACATAATAATAATTTTATTCTAATCGGCCTCTATTTTGATATTTTCCTCTGATCGGCTTCAAAAATCGGCATTTTCTCGCGGCCTCGTGGGCAAAATGCCCACCGGTTCTTATGGCCAGTCCGCCCCTGCTAAAAATATTCAAAATATAAATTTTTATTGAAATGTATTTTTGAGAAAAAATCCATAAACAAAATTTTTTATTAATTTCATCGTAAAAAAAATTAATTAATCATCGTAAAAAAATTAATGATAATCTTGATTTTATAAAAAAAATCATAATAATCCAAATGTCAATCATTAATAATAAAAAATAAATAAGTTCTAAACTAGGACAAAAATGTCAATCATTAAAAATAAAAAAATAGTTACAAACAGTCTTATGAGAGGCAATAGAGCCGTAATTCCTTCTAAATTACGGGGTAAAATCATTGATCTATTACATGCCGGACATCAGGGTCGGGATAAAATGAAATCTTGGGCTCGTGAATATGTATGGTGGCCGGGTATGAGTGATGATATTGAAAAAATTACAAGGAAATGTGTTCCATGTAATACCTGTGCCCCGTAAAGAAGTAGGGCAATTTTGGCCTAAATCAAAGAGTGACAGAGTATGAAGAGATTAGGTCTATGTCACCCATGTTACCTGGAATTTGAGCTAATCTCCAATTAAATTGAGTTAAATTAAGAAAACCATTTTTCCAAAAAAAGTTTTAAATAAGGACTTAAAATGTTCGATACATTCTTTAAATAAAAAAAAAGGGGGAAATAACATAGATCCCTAAACAAAACGAAGACTAAAATTTGTTTTTTAGATAATAAAATAATTTTATTTCTACAAAACCTTTAAACCTAATAATTTCTTTTGAGCGCACCTTCATTAAACATTCATCCGTTTGATTTTGGACCCAATTCTAAATATCCTCACATCACCTCAATCAGAGCCTCTTTTTAATCGAATGCTTACATGTCCCAAAAATATTGCATTTCTATTGATACCAATTTTTAAAAAACATATATTGAATTACTTTTAGCATAAAATTACAAAAAAATTAATATTTTTTCGAAAATGATAGAGCAGGGTTTTTGATTAAATTTAAAATTCCGAATCTTTTTTGTAATTTTTTTAATCTTTTAAATTTGATTTTTAAATCTTGCCTTTATATTATTTTTTGATGTTATTATATTTAAAAAAAAGGCAAAACATCTTTGATTAAAGCACTAGCTGTCAATCAAACAAAATTAAGCCCGGAAAATAGACTGTTCGCTACTCTTGACGTCAGCTTACATCAAGGGATTTTACCCTACAGTGAAAAGGTTCTATATTTGGACACTATTGGTTTTATTTCAGACATTCCGGTATCACTGATTAGTGCGTTTCAAGTTACGCTTAGTGATATTAATCGCGCAGTATATACATGATTGAATTTTTTAAAAAGTGTTTATTTAATATTAGGATATCTTATTACATGTCAGAGATGCTAGTCATCCAGATACAAATTTTCAAAACCTTACGGTTATGGAGACGCTGAAATCTTTGGGAATAAAACAAGAATTGATTGATAACATGATAGAGGTCCACAATAAAATTGACCTCTTGCCTAAGTAATAAAAAAAAATCAACCTGCCCCTTTCGATTTTGGGAAATTTCACACCTAATTTCACTCGGCTAAATTACCTTAGGCGTATGAAGTACTTATAAACAATATTCTCCAATTTTTTATAATTAATTTTCACTAATAAATACTTCTTTTTTTTACTAAACATATATAAATATATTTACAAATTATATCTTCACATAGATACTTTATATAAAATATTGTCATTCAATTGAAAATTATAATTTTTGGCGAACACATCTTAAGCTTTATATTTTTTTCGATATCCCCGTAATATCAACCATCATCGACTCACTCTCCCAAGACCACGTTGGATCGAGCTTGGAGACCCATATTCGACCATCCCCCTATGACGCGTTCCTTACATTTTATTACGAAAGTTGATATAAATTAGTTTAAATAGGTATAAATTTTATTTCCCCGGAGTGTTATATTTTGCATTATAATATCGTAATTATACCTGTTATGACATCGAAAAAAAATTGTATCCCCATAATATTAACTTTAATTCGCGCATCCGATTTTACCAAAATCGAGAGGGGAAGACAACGATTTGACATGGAATTTTCTGTCGTTAAATGATAATTTTTTGAATTCATATACAACATATTTAAAACGTGCATTTCGCGAAATGTTGTATTTAAATTTGAAAAAACATTTTCATACAAATTGGGAGAAACAATTCCTATTTACGTCAACATAAAATAAATTCCATATTCCTAACCTGAAAATTTATTTATTTTTCAGCGTAATAAGGAAAAATGCTAAATGTTATAAAATTGATTTATATTAAAATTATAAAATAAATATTCCCAAACCCGGCCACCCTGAATTTTTTTTATCCCAAAAGTAAAATTAACCGTATGGGTTCGGTTAATTTTACCGCTAATTAAAATAAATTATAAAATTTATATTTAAAAAAAACTAGACTCACCGTACATACAAAAATCGAGAATCCGAAACTGAAAATATTTCCTACATCAATAACCAAATCTGTAGGCTTGTCTGAGTTGTTAACAGGAATCCATATGCTCCTACTGAAAAGGCAAAATAAATCAACCATCCATTTAAAAATTCCTATTCAGCTTTACTCAAAAATTTATAGGTATTCATTTTTATAAAAAAAACTCAAAAACTATTGCTGTCGCATTTTCTAACTGGTTTTTTTTAAATAAGCTAAGTCAAGGGGGGGCTGCATCCCTTAACGACCCCATTGTAAATCTTATTATTTTTTATAGCTATCTTCTCAAAATGAATGCCTCGATCGTTAAGACTGAACCGACGGACGACTCGCAAAATTATATGCTTGAAATCGTGATCGATCAGAAAACGTTGTCCATATTCAAAATTAATTTTGACCCACGATATATTGTAGTGTAATATGAATGATTAAATAAAATGAATAACAAAATATTAAACTTTTCAAAGATTTTTGGTGCAATAAAAATAATACATCGCTAATCCTTGTGTAGTTGTAAATATTTTATAAATAATTTATTTAAGATTGAACTAATATGATTTATGGGGTTCGAGCCTATCTCTTATCATTCTGTTGATAGGCCTTTTCATGTGAATAGCTCGTATCTATAATTCCTATTATCCCTTAAACGATAACCCGATTGTCAATTTTTAAAAACGGCCCGATTAAGATTATAGCCAAAATAATATTATATAAGTCTCGAGATTTGGTAAATAGAAGTCTAAACCTATCTGCCACTTATAAGTAAAATTTACAGGCTTACAAAATATTATTTTGGCTAAAATCTTAATCTAGCTCTTTTTAAAAAATCGATCCAAATCGTGCTTTTTAATAACACCTGTTAATATATATTTTTAAGAAAAATTTTTGAATTTCATATAAATATAACATTGAATTAGGTATTTTTAAAGCAAACTGGTTTAAAAACCAGGCCTTACTTAGAAGATATTAATCTTTATGTTAAGGCCATGACTGGGTTCTTCTTATTTCTAAAGAGTGGTATAGCTGTCTATAACTTCTTCTAAACAGCTTAAAAAGAAAGAGGCTATTTAAATTTGGATGATGAAAATTAATTTTATTTTATTTATACCAAAAAAATAAATAACAAATAATATTTATTTAAACACACTTAAAATAAACAGAAATAAGATGTTTTAGTTCAAAATCTGTTTAGCAGGACTAAACAAAAATATGACGAATCAAGACACATCCTAAACCGGTTCTTGTATTGGCTGTATCTAAAAAAGGTATCTCTGATTCTGAGCATCCTTTTATACTATCAAATGTCAATTAGGATGTGGGACTTTAAAAAAATCATTACATAATATTGTCAAATAAAGAAAAGTTAATTAGACTGAATATGCCCATAGAACATAATGTTTCGGTAATAAATGTTGTAATTGAGAATACAAATAAATAGTATATTAACTACTAATACTTTATTAATATAAATTGTAATTACATAATCATAACTAAAATAAAAAAATTAAAATATTAAAAATTGTTTGCAAATTCATAATAATTATTTTTCAAGTAAAATATTCCCGATTATATATACTTTTCATTTACATAGTGTTTAAACAACAAACTTAAATAATCTTGAACTTTATCTAATCTGAATAATACATCTTTTTTATTCATTTTTCTTTAACTCATTTGAATATTACAACACCCTTCCACTTAGATTAGACCCACATTCTGCGAAAGACCATAAGTCGTGCATGTATCCGATTACTACTCACCGGCAAATTCTGTTTCTTGCCTTCGTCTGGTATTGATGAGCTCTTTATCTCTGTATGCACTTACTAACCTGATTAAGGCATGCTTTTAAACGATCCACGATTGATGGTCAACGATTATCGATACTACGTCTTAAATTCTCCTGATAAATAAATTGTTCTTTTGCTTGTTTCTAACGTTCTCTTGTAACTAGTGATACGTGCTTTATCTCGGTCAACGATGGGCGATGCTTGATCTACGATTAACGATTGTTTTCACGAATTCTTGTTTCTAAGATCATCGATTTTGTATCCTATACTAAAGTTTTGATAAGCAATTGGCGATAATTGATCAACGATTAACTATTGCATCCTTGTATTGACCACTTGTTCTACCTAGTCGCTTGTCAATATATCAACTTCATCTTAAGATCTCTTATACGATATAGATTTCTTTTATCTTTTGATCAAATAAAAATTCGATCTCTACATGAGCTCGATTGCGGCATAAAATTTCTAATGATAAAAAGCCGTTTCTCTTTATGAAATTTTTGGTTATATATAAAACGATAACTTGTACCTATTGAAAAAAAATAAAAAATACCCTTTACTCTCAAAATATAACTTATCACTCCAAAATAATCCTTTCTAATAATATTAAATAAATATAATAAACATTACTAGAATTCATCTTTATTTATGCACATATAACATTATAGATATTAAACATATTAAATCTTCCCCAATCAATCCCGTCTTCATCCAATATCTCCACTCCAAATCCAAACAAAGAATGTTATTTTCTAACAACAACCCATGTGATAAATTCGTTTTCCTCCCATCCACCAGGAAAACTCATTTTCCTGTCAGAAAATAACTGACATTTGATGTATTGTATTGAATTTATTTCTTCTTTTTTTTAACAGCTACAACAGTACCTAGTGACTAATTCTTTTTAGCTAAACGACTAATTCTATTCTTTTCCGAATACGACCATTAATATTGATACCATTGTTTCATTGCTCTCATTCTTTATCTTAGAGTCGATAGTCATTTCTAGTGTTGTTAAACGGCTCGTTTTGAGCCGATTTTTAAAAACGGCTAATTCAATATATTAGCCAGGAAAATATTTTCTAAGTTTCGAGATTTCGCTAATAGATTTCCAAACCTTCGTTCTTTCTATAAACAAAATCTTCAGGCTTGCGTAATACATTCAGGACGAAATATTGAGTTAGCCGTTCTTAAAAATCGGCTCAAAACGAGCCGTTTAACAACACTAGTCATTTCATACATCCCCTTCCCCATTTATTTAGAATTTCTTTTCATAGTTAATTAGACTAAATTGTCGTAATTGCCCTGGCACCTCCACTCTCCAACATCATTGTCAAATAATGAAAGTTAATTAAACTGAATATGCCCTTAGAACATAATGTTTCAATAACAAATGTTAGTTGAGAATTAAAGAGAATACAAATAAATAGTATAAATAAATTAACTACTAATACTTTATTAATTAATATAAATTGTAATTACATAATCATAACTAAAATAAAAAAATTAAAATAATATAATATAAAAAAATTAAAAATTATGTTCGCAAATTCATAATAATTATTTATCAAGTAAAATATTCCCGATTATATATACTTTTCAATACTATTCATTTACATAGTGTTTAAACAACAAACTTAAATAATCTTGAACTTTATCTAATCTGAATAATACATATTTTTTATTCATTTTTCTTTAACTCATTTGAATATTACAACAAATATCAAAGAAGATGATTCCATTTAATCTTGTTAAACTGCTCAATTTTTTAAAATGGCTAACCCATAGCCAAATAAGTATCATGCAAGCCTCAAGATTTCGTTAATAGATGTCCAAACAAACCTTTCTGCCATTTATGAGCTCAGGTTTGCGTATTTTATACTATCATAGGTCAATTAGGATGTGGGACTATTAAATTCATTACAGGTAAATCTCAAAGAAGGTACCTTTTATTTAGTGTTATAAACGGCTTCCAATATTTTTGCAAAATGTTATGCAAGCCTCGAGATTTCATTAATAAATATCCAAACCTTTCTGCCATCTATGAGAAAAATCTTCAGGCTTGCGTAATAACTTTGGCGAAAATATTGAGTTAGCCATTTTTAAAAATCGAGCCGTTTAACAATACTACTTCCTTTCATTTAGGGGGAGGAGGATATTTTGGACCAAATACTGCGCTCATTGAAACTGCTATTTGTTTTTAAAATTTTTTATGAAAACTTAAAATTCTCTTAACAAAGATTATAGAGTTGTCGTTAAAAAATTAAAATACCTTATACCTGTCGAGATATTTGAATAATTTTGATGAAATAAATACATTTTGTGAGATCATTAAATAAAATGCAAAGATTATTTTAAAATGAATGACATCCTAAAATAAAACAAATATTAAAAATAGTTCTAAATACAATTGTAAAGGTGAAAAAGGTTGAAAATAGTTTTTATAACCTCTAAATTAGTGTTGTTAATCGGCTTAGCCGAGTCGGCTCAAACAGAGCTCACCCAAATTTTGGGTCGTTTTTTTCGACTCCAACTCAAAGTTTTGGTCGTTTTTTTACGACTTCGACCCGAGTTCAAGCCGAAAAAAACGACTTCGACCCAAAATATGGGTCGTTTTTTTCGACTCCGACCCAAGTCCAAGCCGAAAAAAACGACCTCGACCCAAAATATGGGTCGTTTTTTACGACTCCGACTCAAAATTTGGGTTGTATTTTTCGACTCAAACTTAAAATTTGGGTCGTATTTTTCGACTCAAACTTGAAGTTAGGGTCGTATTTTTCGACTCCAACTTGAAGTTTGGGTCGTATTTTTCGACTCCAACTTGAAGTTTAGATCGTATTTTTCGACTCCAACTCAAAGTTTGGGTCGTTTTTCTGACTCAGACTCAAACATCGGGTCGTCTTATTCAATCCGACCCAAAATATGGATCGTTTTTTTTAAAGACGCCTTAAAGTTAGGGTTGCTTTTTTTCACCTAACCAAATATCTAGATCATTTTTTTCGACCAAAAGTCAAATAACATTTAGTAGATATTAATATTATAGGCGGAAAAGTTTCTTAAAGCTTTTTTAAATTATAACGCTCTGATTTAACTATTCCATCATAGTTATTTTTTAAAATTTTTAAGTAAAGATGTACCATAGAAAAGAGCCATTTGTTATGATGGTTATTTTTGAACTTTTTTAAATGAAATAGATAAAAATATATATTGTAGACATGTTAAATCAAAATTTCAGTGAAGATGTATCATAGATAAGTGACAATTGTCATAATCGACATTTTTGAACTTTTTTGAGTTTTTTTATAGCAAATTGCTAAAAATATATATTCTTAACATGTTAAATTAAAAATTCAGTGAGGATGTATCATAGATAGGTGACAATTGTCATAATCGTTATTTTTGAACTTTTTTCAATTTTTTTAAAGGAAATAGCTAAAAATATATATTCTAAACATGTTAAATTTAAAATTCAGTGAGGATATATCATATATAGGTGACAATTGTCATAATCGCTATTTTTGAACTTTTTCAAATTTTTTTAAAGGAAATAGCTAAAAATATATATTCTAAACATGTTAAATTTAAAATTCAGTGAGGATGTATCATAGATAGGTGACAATTGTCATAATCTTTATTTTTGAACTTTTTTCAATTTTTTTAAAGGAAATAGCTAAAAATATATATTCTAAACATGTTAAATTAAAAATTCAGTGAGGATGTATCATAGATAGGTGACAATTGTCATAATCGTTATTTTTGAACTTTTTTCAATTTTTTTAAAGGAAATAGCTAAAAATATATATATTCTAAACATGTTAAATTAAAAATTCAGTGAGGATGTATCATAGATAGGTGACAATTGTCATAATCTTTATTTTTGAACTTTTTTCAATTTTTTTAAAGGAAATAGCTAAAAATATATATTCTAAACATGTTAAATTAAAAATTCAGTGAGGATGTATCATAGATAGGTGACAATTGTCATAATCGCTATTTTTGAACTTTTTCAAATTTTTTTAAAGGAAATAGCTAAAAAAATATATCCTAAACATGTTAAATTAAAATATCAGTGAGGATGTATCACATTCACAGATAGGTGACAATTGTCATAATCTTTATTTTTGAACTTTTTTCAATTTTTTTAAAGGAAATAGCTAAAAATATATATTCTAAACATGTTAAATTAAAAATTCAGTGAGGATGTATCATAGATAGGTGACAATTGTCATAATCGCTATTTTTGAACTTTTTTCAATTTTTTTAAAGGAAATAGCTAAAAATATATTTTCTAAACATGTTAAATTAAAAATTCAGTGAGGATGTATCATAGATAGGTGACAATTGTCATAATCGCTATTTTTGAACTTTTTCAAATTTTTTTAAAGGAAATAGCTAAAAAAATATATCCTAAACATGTTAAATTAAAATATCAGTGAGGATGTATCACAGATAAGGGACAAAAAATGGTTATTATATATACGAGTAGTTAGGTACATAATAATCCTTAAGTGATAAAATGAGATGCTAATATATTTCTTGTAATTTTAATTTATAATAAAATTCTTAAATATGTTATTGTCATAGACTGGGTTAGAAAATCAACTATCACATAAACTCATCTATGTTTTATTCATATTATATTTTTAAGTTTGAGGATATAAAAATATTTCCTCTTTGAAGTTACTAGTTAGGATAAAATTTACTTGGCACATCTTACAATGATATTTATACTTGTTTTTTTTTTCGAGAATAAATTTTATGCGATATCTCATGAAGGAAATTACATATCATTGTACAGAGAAATAAATTTGTATATATTATCTGCACCCATATCTTTTATATCAATCTCTATCGATGACATTTTAAATTATATTGGAAACTAGATTGTGTAGATTTCTAAATATTAATTTAAAAGATTAAGATGCTAGAATTAATTATAGATATATCTTAATAATTTGTATATGCATTTATTATTTAAAATCTCTCGTTTTAAGCCTATTTAGCAAGAAAAATATTGACTAATTCTGTAATTGATAATAGATATCTATACCTTTATATAATCTATGAGAAAAATTGCTCTCATAATATTCTACTTAATAAAATAGTGAATAATTAACGCCTGAAAAAAAGTAAGCGCTTTATAACATGGTTCAAAGTTAATCCCAGTATTAATTTTAATGTGTAATTTTTCTCAAGTGTTCAAAATTCTAAATCTTAATATCAAAAACTATTTTAGTTATCAATTTAAAGTCAAATAATATTAAAACACTAATATTCTCCAGTATTCATAAAAAACAACAGCCTGAAACAAGAACACTAAGCTCAAAACATCTTAAATATTTGATACATTTATAGTTTAAATATTTTTATTTAAATTATATATATTTATTAATGTACAAAAAATTTAATTTAACAATATATATAGATATAAAAATTATGTATAAAATTTATTATTCATGATATTGATATCCCATGAATTTAAACATAAACACTGTTTAAGTGTTTCGGAGGCCATGCGATTTCTTTTCTTTGTTACGGTGTCCACCCCTTTTGAGAAGACACGCTCGCTCTCAACGGATGTACTTTGCTGCGACAAAAAATCTTTAGCCATCTTGCAAAAGTACGGAAAACGCTCAGAATTACAGTACGACTTAAAAAAACTCGACTTAACACTACATTTTTGAAAAATATGGCTCGCCTAAATTACTAAATTATATTTTAAAAAATTCATATTTTATATTAAAAAAATGCATCCGGAATCGCAAATACTTATAAAAAAAATTTATTGTTTTATTAGTTTAAAAATTCCATATGGAAGTGAAGTGACTATTTAAATTCTAAAATTAAAAAAGATATTTTATTTTACTTGACGTGGTGCCAGCTAGACGGCAAATTTGTTGAGATTTTTTCTTTTATTCATTGTTAGGGATAGGGATATGATTAATAATCATTTTTTTTAACTTTCCAAATTTTTTTTATTATTTTTGAGGGTAGCCAAATTAAATTTTAATTTTTATTCATTTTTTGTTTTTAAAATTATAATTCAATTTTAAAGAGTAACATATATTTTATTAATAAAAGTTGTCCAATTTTCAGGATTAGTCAATATTTTTCTTGCTAAATAGGGTTAAAACGAGAGATTTTAAATAATAAATGCATATACAAATTATTAAGATATATCTATAATTAATTCTAGCATCTTATTTTAAATTAATATTTAGAAATCTACACAATCTAGTTTCCAATATAATTTAAAATGTCATCGATAGAGATTGATATAAAAGATATGGGTGCAGATAATATATACAAAGTTAATTCTCTGTACAATGCTATGTAATTTCCTTCATGAGATATCGCATAAAATTTATTCTCGAAAAAAAAAACAAGGTATAAATATCATTGTAAGATGTGCCAAGTAAATTTTATCCTAACTAGTAACTTCAAAGAGGAAATATTTTAATATCCTCAAACTTAAAAATATAATATGAATAAAACATAGGAGTTTATGTGATAGTTGATTTTCTAACCCAGTCTATGACAATAACATATTTAATAATTTTATTATAAATTAAAATTACAAGAAATATATTAGTATCTCATTTTATCACTTAAAAATTATTATGTACCTAACTACTCGTATATATAATAACCATTTTTTGTCCCTTATTTATGATACATCCTCAATGATATTTTAATTTAACATGTTTAGAATATATATTTTTAGCTATTTCCTTTAAAAAAATTGAAAAAAGTTCAAAAATAAAGATTATGACAATTGTCACCTATCTATGATACATCCTCACTGAATTTTTAATTTAACATGTTTAGAATATATATTTTTAGCTATTTCCTTTAAAAAAATTAAAAAAGGTTCAAAAATAACGAATATGACAATTGTCACCTATCTATGATACATCCTCACTGAATTTTTAATTTAACATGTTTAGAATATATATTTTTAGCTATTTCCCTTAAAAAAATTTGAAAAAGTTCAAAAATAGCGATTATGACAATTGTCACCTATATATGATATATCCTCACTGAATTTTAAATTTAACATGTTTAGAATATATATTTTTAGCTATTTCCTTTAAAAAAATTAAAAAAGGTTCAAAAATAACGAATATGACAATTGTCACCTATCTATGATACATCCTCACTGAATTTTTAATTTAACATGTTTAGAATATATATTTTTAGCTATTTCCCTTAAAAAAATTTGAAAAAGTTCAAAAATAGCGATTATGACAATTGTCACCTATATATGATATATCCTCACTGAATTTTAAATTTAACATGTTTAGAATATATATTTTTAGCTATTTCCTTTAAAAAAATTAAAAAAGTTCAAAAATAACAATTATGACAATTGTCACCTATCTATGATACATCCTCACTGAATTTTTAATTTAACATGTTCAGAATATATATTTTTAGCAATTTGCTTTAAAAAAACTCAAAAAAGTTCAAAAATGGCGATTATGACAATTGTCACTTATCTATGGTACATCTTCACTGAAATTTTGATTTAACATGTCTACAATATATATTTTTATCTATTTCATTTAAAAAAGTTCAAAAATAACCATCATAACAAATGGCTCTTTTCTATGGTACATCTTTACTTAAAAATTTTAAAAAATAACTATGATGGAATAGTTAATCCATAGCGTTATAATTTAAAGAAGCTTTAAGAAACTTTCCCGCCTATAATATTAATATCTACTAAATGTTATTTGACTTAAAAAATGATCTAGATATTTGGTTAGGTGAAAAAAAGCAACCCTAACTTTAAGGCGTCTTTAAAAAAAACGATCCATATTTTGGGTCGGATTGAATAAAACGACCCGATGTTTGAGTCTGAGTCAAAAAAACGACCCAAACTCTGAGTTGGAGTTGAAAAATACGACCCAAACTTCAAGTTGGAGTCGAAAAATACGACCCTAATTTCAAGTTTGAGTCAAAAAATACGACCCAAACTTCAAGTTTGAGTCGAAAAATACGACCCAAATTTCAAGTTTGAGTCGAAAAATACAACCCAAATTTTGAGTCGGAGTCATAAAAAACGACCCATATTTTGGGTCGAGGTCGTTTTTTTCGGCTTGGACTTGGGTCGAAGTCGAAAAAAACGACCCATATTTTGGGTCGAAGTCGTTTTTTTCGGCTTGAACTTGGGTCGTAGTCGAAAAAAACGACCCAAACATTGAGTCGGAGTCGAATAAAACGACCCGAGCTTTGAGTCGGGGTCGCGACTCGCGGCGTTTTAACTCTAAATACTATATAGATAAATAATATATTAATTTTTTTTAAAAACCTGGACAATTCAAAATTTATTTTTTAAAATTCTGATATCCTTATTAAATATTTCATATTATAATAATATAATTTATAAAAAAAATGATAGTTCAATAATTTTAATATTAATTTATCGTTGATTTTCAAAATATAAAATGTTGTATAAAATATAAATATAATATATTACACATTACTGATAACAATTTTGTTTTATAAAATAGAATAAAATGGAAAAAGCTGAGTGAAGGGAAATTTATTTATAGAATAAGAATTCTTACAACTTGCGATAAGGTACAATAATATATCAAAAAGCTAACGCATAACAAAAAAAGTGGTTTTGAGACTTGTTTTTTTTTGAGAAAAGATTATTTTGGGGCAAATTGGATAAATCATAACATTTTATAATCATTATAAATATAAATTAGCACACGTTATTGAGATTGGTTATTTTATTTGTATATTTAAAAAAACAAAAAAAATCGAGGCCCTGGAAATAAAGTTTTACATAAACTCGTGAAACAAGATCGAAGCACTTTTTCCGGAATGGAATGCAAATTAGTCCTTGTTCCAGGTCCTGATTATATCACATCATAAATAAAACCCTAAATTATTAGAAGACTTTTGAATCTATTAAATCCTCATAAATTTAAACGATTAAAAATTATTAAATGTCTTGGGTTAGGTAAATCTTTTAAAATTTGTGTTACTCTTGATTACAATCGATTGTACAAATAAAAACTAAAAAAAAATTGAACATAAATAAAAGCAGGGACGTCACTAGTCTTTACAATCTCAGGGGGCTCAAAAAATTATTTTCAAAATTACCTTTTTTTAGCTTAACAATATCTAAAATTAACTTTTTTTAGTAGTAAAAAAAAAATTTCAGAGGAATCGAGCATCTGCCCCCCCCCTCCCTCTTCCACTTGTGACGCTACTGATAAAAGCATGTTTATAAAATATATTATATTTACATATCTCAGGATATTATATTATAAATAAAATAATGCAAATATTATTGGGAAGGAATAAATAGCAATTTATATTAATTATATAAATGAATATCAAATTATGAAATATTATTCTAATAGTGTAATGCATGTTCGATCATTTCATTATGATGGCGCGTTAAAGTAAGGGCCTTGCGTTCTCAAATACTAATTCGATATTTAAAAATATGTGTATATATATGAGTAATCAATATTTATTAAACTTATTTATTCTAAAAGGCAATTATAAAATGAAATAATTTATACATGAATAACGGCTGAGGGACCACCCGATATGATATCTGGCGGGAATTGAGATAAGGGGCAATTTTCAACACTCATGATTTGTAAATTGGCACACATGGCTAATTCAAAAGGTAACATATGTAAACTTGGATTATCGTTAAGGTATAATGTTTCTAAACTGGTCATATGTTCTAAAAAAAATTTTTTATCAAAAGAACACACATTATAATAGAAAAATAAAAATGATCATTCTATAAAAACCGAAGTGAAACCATTAGTGTTGCGTAATCGGTTAAAAATTTCGCCTAAGCCTAATTAGATTTAGCCTAAAAATCGACTAAATTTAATTAGGCTTAGCTGAAAAACAAAAACTAATAGTAAAAATTAAGCATCGGCTAAGGAGCTCGGCTAACCGTCCGTCAGCGTTACGTTAGATAATTCTAGCCTTAATTATTATTTATTTATTAAGATGATTTATATTTTATTTATTATGTAACGTTGACAGCCAATTAGCCGAGCTCTTTAGTCCATGCCTAATTAGTTTTAGCCAGTTTTCGGATGGGTTCAATTAGGTTTAGCCTATTTTTTCACCTAAAAATTCGGCTAAGCCTTTTAGAATAGGCTAAAATCAGCAGGAAGCAACACTCAATGAGGACAAGCATTGCATTTATGCCATGTAATTCAGGTGTTTTTTGATATATCACCAACAATTTATATTATATTATTTTTCCAAATTTGGTCATAATGTAATGAATGGATGCAAGGTGTTCTTAAAAAATTACTAAATATTTACTGGTTCTTGAGAAATGACAATTTATATAAAAGTTATTTTTAGAAAATTAAAGAAAATAAATAATGATAAATTTTTGGTTGTAAAAAATTTGCCAATAAAATATTTTTTTAATCTTTACTAAATTTTCAAATTTAAAAATAATAATCTTATTTTCATCAATTTGTATTATTTTGAATATTGCCATTACAATAATGCAACATCAGGACATTATGATGTTAAATTGAGAAAATTAAGATTCTCCTTTTTTAATAAATTTTCATAATTAACATAGGTCTCGTAGTATTTTATTTTGATGTTGCTGCACTATATGGATCTTTCCCTAAGGAAATTTTTACAAAATGCTAAATTATCTTAATATTCTCAATTTCACTATGTACAAAAGTTGATTATCTTTTAATAATCTAAATTAGATTGATCTCCCAGACATATAATATTGAACCACCTGCTGTCCTGGTTTCTTTAGAAATTATATGGATAGAGATTTCAAAATATAATAATCTTCCCCTCTCGATTCATCATAAAATTATTCAAGGGATTTTTAATAAAACTATCACGAAATTAAGAGTATTTTTTTTTACTTCAAATAATAGTTAAAATTAATTAGAATAACCAAGCAAAAAAATTTATAATTGGAACAATTGTATATTAGAAATTTTAAAATTTGTGATTATCTTTTAGGATACAAAGCTATGTCTAGAAACCACGTTCTCTTATAATTGATACTGGTAGGCCATATGTATGTTTTAATTCTTTTATAAAAATTGAATTATGTCTGATTGATATAATAGAGGTAATGTTTCCTTAATATAAATATTGATAATTTAAAATTTGCCAATTTTGACATAATATTGTCCAGATGTTGCAGTTTAATATAACGGTCATTTTTAAGGGGCCCTTTACGCTTTTTATTTATTCTTCATAAATATGATCTAAAGATGGTAATAAGTGAGTTAACTGATTCCGAAATTATTATTTTGAGCCTAAATACCCCTTCCGTAATGGGTTAACATTAAATAAAATATATTGATTATATTAATTTTATATATTTAATATTCAGAGTAAAATCATAATATAAAATTCCCAACTTAACGCAAAGTAAAATAATATGTTTTTTATAGTCTGACACTGCTAGATTAAATTGCATTATTTGAAAGAAAACGCAACATTAAAAAAAATTAACTTTCAATATGGAAGTACTATAAAGTCGAATATATCCAATAATTCTAACCTATTTCCTCCGGAATCGATGTTAATAAATTTTCGCCAGCTCCTAAATAGGTTAAGTTACTGAGATTCCTATGTATACAATAATACGATTTTTTAGTTAATTAAAAAAAAAGGTGGTAAACGTTAAAAAGTGTTTATCATGAACTATTATTTTACCCTATTGATCTTGGGAGTGAGGTGATTTGGTTGGATTGTATGATAAGTTTTGTCAACTCTTTTAGAAACCCTGAAGTTTTATGTGTTTAACATTTTAAAACATGAGTTATCTTTAAAAAATTAATTCACTCCACTAAAATTTTAGTAAATTTTTTCTTTTTTATAATCATAAAATAATTCCTTCCTTTATTATTCGTAAATATTTTAAAATCTTTATGGAACTTCATCTTATTAAACAATTTTTCCAAATCTATATTCTTAATTTTCTCCCAAAATTTAATAATCCACTTTTTTTGTTTTTGAATACATTTAAAGAATAATAATAATCTTCGAATTGAATATCTGATTCCAAACGATATAATTATTAAGGTTGTGTCCAAAATTGGATTTCTTTTAAATTTATAAATTTCAAAAATTTTAATGAAAATAAATAAATAAGCCATTTTTAACAAAATAAAATCCAAAATATTTCTATAAAAAATTTAAAAACTACATACGATTTTCATTAAAATTTCTGAAGGTTTTAAAACTTTTAATTTTTAAAAAAGATCTTGGACGAAACATAAATAAAGAAAAATTAATAAAGATTTAATAGTAGTAGTAGTGTACAATAAAATAATCTTCTATAAAAACAGGGATAAGTCCCTTACTATGTGTGAAACTGTCAAAACAAGCTCATAAACTAGCTACATTTTTATTATTATTACAGATATTATAAATTTAATTTTAACAATGTTAAAGTTTCATTTTTCAATAGAAATTTTGATAAATCAGGTGATTGTAATGGGTACTTGGGTTCTAAGCACTGACCAAAGTTTGTGATTAACTTTAAATATCATAATATTATTCTTAATAAATCCATTTGAAAGTATATTTCAAAAAAATTAAACTTATGAAGAAAGTCCTCCCTGTCTATTAATATGAAATAAAATTTAATATATTTTTCTTATCAAATTATGACTTTTGAGAAATGTAAAGTCAATAATGTATGACAACAAAAATGCAAACCTATTTCAGTCGGTAATGATTCTAACTTGTTTTCCTCTACATCCAAGACTCGCAATTTTGTCAGATTTCCAATAGATATAGGTAGTTTCTAATATTTTATTTGAAACATAAATCAAGATTAGATAAATTAAAATTTATATTTTAAAAAAAAAGTACCTTTAGTAAATTGTTGCTGAGTATTAAGACTTCGAGATTGATAAGATTTTGAACGGCGTCAGGTATTTCTGCCAATTGATTGGTTCCTAAATTTAATTCGACAATTTGAGTCCATGTTCCCATATCTAGTATATTCGAAGTAATAATAAGTAATTCCTATATAAATTTATAATTAGAATAGTGACATTCGTATCTAATCTCGGCAAGATAAATAACCAATAGAATAATTACGAGGAATAATAACTAATTTGACCTATATTTTTATAAAACATTTCAAAAAAACTCTTAAAATGATTTACAAGAACTAATGCTTACATGGTGTACTATTTCCAGTGGTGTAGACAAGAGAGAAAGATTTGGGAATACTCCTCTCCCCTCACATGGAAAATATGACTAGTAAAAATTTTGTGTTTTCATAGATCTAGATAAAAATTTGCTCGCACTTCTTAAATTGATAAAACTTCCCCATTAATTTTCTACTTTTATAAAATAATATTATTTCTTCCTTTATTTAAAAGGATGAGTGAAAAACTCATTAAAATATATGAATACAAAATACTTTAACACGCATTAAATATTTATATAAAATATTAAAATTTAAAGAAAAAAATTATTATAAGCCATATGAGAGTCATTTGACCTTTTCTATTTCCAAGTATAAAAGTAGACTTAGTATTTGCTAAACAATCGTTTAAACTTAGCGTTTGAGAGTAAAAATAATTTATTGTAATCGATAATTTTTCAAAGATATCACAAGTCTATTTGACTACTTTTATTCTATCGGTAATAAATTATAAAAGTATCAAGACTACAGCCATAAAATTATGATTCTAATTTTTTATATATTTCATTTATCTAAGTGCTTCTATATTTTTCGTTCTTAAATCTTGATGATAATAACCTTTTTATTTATATGGTTTACCAATCAGATTGAAGCATTAAATTAAATGTATAAGATAAGCATTACATATTGGCCTAACCTTAAGAATTAGTGCTTGCAAAATTATAGCAAATCATGCTTAGGACTTCGTGTTATTCAGATGAATATCAATTTTTTCTTGGAAATATAATTTGATTCAAAATGTTAACTATTATACTTCTATATCTATTATATAAACCGAAATTATAAGATTCAAAAATATTTTAATTGGGAAAAAATAAGCTTCTTAATGTATTTAGACCTAATTGATCACAATTTAAAATTTAATATTTATCAGCTTATAAATGGTTTCTGTTTATTAACTGGAAAAACTAATTAATAAGTACTAATCAGGCATTACATTTCTATAATTTTGGTTCTGGCATAATGCCAATATTAGCATTATCTTCTTATTTTGCCAATAATGCGTTTTTCTTTAAACTATCAACCAAATGAATTGAAGCATTGAAATGTACTACGGAGATATAAATTTCAGAGTTTATGCTTCCAGAAGTTTAGCTGGCTTCGTTTTTATTTGGCTTATAATGTAGTTATGTTTTTGGAGATGGTGCAATATAATGAAGAATTAATAAGTAAAGGCGCTAATTATTAACGCAAACCTGATATTTAGACCTTCTATATTTTCCGTTCTACCAGGATGCCACTTTTTTCTTATTTAACCAATAACCCCTATCCCCTTTTTAAACCATCTGCCAAATATATTAAAACAATGAAATATACAAATTAAGTACTACTTAATGGTCTGGATAAGTATTTTCTAAAAGATGGACTTATTTCACGCTTTAAAAAAGAGTGGCGTCATAGTTTTCATTTTGGTTATAACTGGCGATTTTTATGGTACTTGTTATATTCCAATTTTATAAAATTGTGGATTGTATATTCCAATACTACTTTTCGAAATTAAATAAATTTTACCGTTTTATACTATTATTACACTTCATGCTTCTTATAGTCTTTGTTATCCTTTTTTTTATTATTAAAATTTTCGTAAATAGATTTTTCATAAATAAAATTTTTAGTTGATTTATAAAAAACCATAACACTTCACAAAATTGATTGAGAAATTAATAAGTACTAGTCAGGAACTAAAGCGCAAACTAGATAGTTAGTTTTTTTCCATTTTGACTTTTTTTCTTATTACTCTAATAATTCCTTAAACAACTACTAAAAGAAGATTATATTTAATTAAGCATTAAATAGGGATAAAATTTTCAAAAAAATGCTTTAAGTCGCTTTATAATCGTTAAGTTGGTAAAAATTATGTTATTTATAATTTTTTCCTTTAAACTAGTTATATTGGTTTAAGCACTCAAGGACTAATAAAAACTAAATATTGGCTTAAATTTTAGAATTGGTGCTTCAAATAACGGAGAGGGTTATATATTTAAAAAGCAAGATAAAGATAACCATGAAATTCAAAAATACCAACCCCGAATTTTTCATAGGACCTGTTTCGGGACAAATAGAGACCAAAATAATTATTCGTAACCCTCAACCCCCCCCCCCCATTTGGTACATAATTTCTACTACGCCATTGACTTTTTTCAAGGGTAAGGTTCCAATCCAGACTAAACCTTTTTCAATTTTAAATTGGTTTTTGAGCACATAATAAATGATTATTCAAAAAAATAAGAATATTGTAAGTAATACCTAATGGAAAGAAATTCAATTGATTATCTTTCATATTGAATTTGGTGAGTTGTTTCGCGGTCGAAAAAACGCCGAAGGGTATTTTATTGATTGTGTTGTGTTCCATGTTTAAAGACTTTAAGAAACAAAAAATATAATAAATTTAACTCAGAGAATAATGCTGATGATTCAGTCTTAAATACAATTATCAAAGTTATCCAATAATCGTTTTAAATTTTTTTTTTCTAAAAAATCATGAAAGAGAAACTGTGCAGGTCGAGAATTGATTAGGTCCTCCAGGTGGGAAATATGAAAAGTTGTTTCGGGCTAGCGTGATATTATCTAAAAGCGGGAGAGAGCACAATAATCCTTCCTTAAAATAATGGGATATAATAAATATTCATCATGTGATTAAAAAATTATGTTACAGTGGAGTTAATTCATATTTATAAATATAAACCGAAATAAGCCAATATTTTTTAACATAACAGACCGATCTGTCAATTGGTCTAGATTTGTTTTTACAATTAGGATTTACACCCAACTTAGAACTAATTTGCCGGGTCCGTAGTACGGTGTGAAACCAACCGTTGTCCACTATTTGTAAATAGAGATCGGATTTTAAAGAACTTTAAAACTGGGAGGAACCAGAAAAAATCAAATTCATAATCTAAAAAGAAATAAACACGGTTCTTGCTTTAATAATATTCTAAATTCATCCAAAAATTTGTAGGCATTCAAATAAATAAACAAATTTAAAATCATTTTCATAATTAAATAAAGTCAATATCATGATTTATTAAATGTCTGCATAGGTAATAGGATAAAAAAAAGACCAGGGCAAGAGTATCCTGAGGGGAAAAAATAATATACAAAATATACCATAAGACAAAAGAACATGGGCAAAATTGACCTAATTTAAAATTTTTTAAATTTAAATGCTTGGAAATTTAAAAAATTTATTAATTTCTTCCACATGAGGTCTGCAATGGGCGAGTTTTTAGGCCACACGCCCATACTTCTGTCGGGAGTGGTCGGGTTTTCTAAAATATTTCCAACATTAGGCGGGTGACGGGCGGATTAAAAAATATTTTTAAAGTAATGGGGGGGGGGAGTGGGAGGGTGAATTTTTAATATTTTTCAGGTAAAATAAGCAGAACAGACTTTAATTTATTAAAAATAGTTTTATTTCATATTACATATTATGTATGTTTAATTGAAAATAGATAAAAATAGGTAAATAAAAAGCCAACCCAGCCATTAATCATTTAAACATTAGGAGGATGGGCAGGTTAAACAAAATTTTATAAATAAATAGGTGGGCAAGCGGGTAATTTTTTTAAAAAAAATTATAAGTGGGCGGGAGGGTAAAAATTTTAAAGCAACGTGTGGGAGGAGGCTTTTGGCTAAAACCCGTCCATTGCAGACCTCTAGTCTTAACAGTATAATACGGTAAAAACTAATAGATACTAATTAGCTGCTTCGCAGATTTAACCGAATGAAGTAGATTTGATTCTAATAAAATTAATTATTTCTCATGATCTACTTTTATTGGATTAACCTTAACTACATCCAGACTTGCCATGAACCGGGAATCAATACATTTAGACAACGTCTAAACATTTCCCCAGTACTCCACATATGTGCATGGATTTTTATAAAATTTTGTGTGAAACCAATGCACAGTGTTTGAGCATTATCAATACTCAACTGTTATTTTTAGTGAGTGGAAGGAATTAATAATTTTCTAAAAACTTTCCCATTTTTCTAAACATTTTAAAAACCCAATAAAATTTGGGTTTTTTGTCCGACGTATTTCTATCCGGGGTTTGTAGAGTCTTCATGTCGAGGACACTTCTGACCGATTACCCCTATCACTAAATAGGAAATTTTCTTTGGTTTAAAAAATGATAAATGTCTGTTTTCGGATTTTATTACATAAATATTTTTAACTATGATAAGCACATATTTTTATTTATAGTCTAGACTTTCCCTTATAGACAATACTTCTTGGAGTATTGCATCGCGAGCCTGCGACCCTAAATATTAATATTTCCATTCTATTCTTTCTTTTGGATTTGATGAAATATCACAATTAAAAAATAAATTAACAAACGCGAAATGTAAATATATCAGAAGTGGAAAATATTTCCTATTCATTTCATATCCTATTTTTGTAATAAAATAAATAAACATAATTATTTTCAGTTATTGCTGAGTATTTAAATTTAAAGTATAACAATAAATTGACCAATTTTGAAGGTTGTAAGAATAAAGAAGGGCATTAGAATTTTATTCCTAAAACTTAAAAACCTATAATAATTAAGCCTTTGTAGAACTGGTCAATTTAGACAAAGAGTAAGGCTAAATAATGGCATTATAATTTTTACTCATAGAAATAGCTAAAAATCTTGAAGTGAGCATTTAATAGAACTGATTAATTTGAACGGGTAAGGCTTTTAATAAAAAATAACTAAGCTTTCTAGAGTAATAACTTAATGGGCAATTTGGAAAAGTGGAAGGGCCAATTAACTAGATAATATTTTTTAAATACTAAAAATAGATAAAAACCTTAAAAATAGATAAAAACCTGTATAAAGTAAACACTTAACGAAAACTAGCCAATTTGGACAGGTAGTGATCCCTTGGTATTATAACTTTTATCAGCAAAAAAAAAGTATAAAAATCAATTGGGTGAGCCTGTGGTGAAGAATAAATATTGGCAAGATGGATTCCTTGCAAATTAAATGAATCGTGAGGTGTCCATTCTAAGTCCGTTTAATTGATTTGAAACATGTATGGCAAATTGTGTTATCAAAAATGTTCGTGACAATAGTTGAAGGAATGATTGGAAAAAATTTTTTTATACATTTAATAAAGTACCAATAATAAATTTAATTAAACAAATTCATCGATTGAAAAATCACAGGTTTCGCTTCTCGTATTTTATACATTTTGAACCATTCACAAAATAAGACAAGATTATACTAAAAACTCAGTCAGACCGCAAAAATGATCAAAATTTTAAAGAAATCGGGGCTGGACTAAAAATCGATCATCCTGATGTTTCCGATATAAATAAACATGAATTATAAATTAATATTATAATATTTATTTTTGACACGGTGACCAATGCTCACGGTCGGTCAATACTTTTCATTTTAGCTGATGCTCAAAAGATGGTAATTGACTTTCATATTTTAAAACATTTTTTAATTGATAAAAAAATTAATACACAATTTTCTAAACCGATAAGAAATAAAAAATTCAAGTTAATTATTTTAAATATAAACAAGGAAAGGAAGCCAACTTTTTAAAACGGTCAACTCAATATTTTTACCAGAAAGATACTACATAAACCTTGAGATTTCGCCAATAGATCTCCAAACCTTTGTGCCACCTAGAAGCAACATCTTCAGGCTCGCGTAATATTTTTCTGGGTAAAATATTGAGTAAGCCGTTTTTAAAAATCGGCTCAAATCGAGCAGTTTAACAAGATTAGAAAGGAAAATAAAGTAGTATAGGTGCTTCTCTGATATAAACATTGAATCAGAGTTTGAAAAAAAAATCTCGATTTATTTTTTAAGAAAGATTTTTGATCAAAATGAATAGCTAAATTTTTTTGTAAATTCTTTTAGTATTTTACAATTATCATGTATAAAAAATCTTTCGTGATAAAATCTTCTAAAAATCAAAGATTTTTGCTCAAAAATATTGTGAAAATTTTTTTCCTCTACATTCGAACTTACCGGTAAATTCACCACATTATTTCCTTCTATGTTAAACTCGTCCATTTTTGTGCATTTTTTTAAGGTACATGGGATCTCTTTTAAACAGTTGTACCTAATTTTTTTTTATATATAAAAAATCGCAAAAATTAATTGAAAAAGATACCCATTTATTTTTTAAAAAAAGAAAATTGGTGAAAAATTACAGCATAATCTTATTTTTTCTTACCATATTTCGTGTGCACGATTAATTTTAAATTTTTTTTATTACAATCATTCGATGGCGGTCTCATCTCTAAGTAAGTGACAGGACAGACGTTTCAGGGTTCATTTTTTATAATAGGAACTTAATTAGAACCAATTTTTTGAAAGGGATCCGAAATACACCCTGATTCGATGGGTTGTCCATAAATGGTCCCTATTCGGTCCGTGTTCTCAAAATTTCAAGCCTCCGGGTTTAAAACCCTGAATAAGCACTTACTCTATTCGAGAATAAACATAATTTCGTGACTGGTATATACAAGCAAGTACTAGATCATTTTAAAATTAGTTTTACTTTTTTTTCTTTCGATATACTATTAAAAAATAATTTGGAGAAAAGTTACGTTTCTTTTAATAATATATTCGATCGAATACTTAAAAATTTGTTTTTCTTAGAAGTCATTATCGTAACATTATTTTTTAAAAAAATCGATAAGAATCATCAAATAATTAATAGGAATGACATGAAAAATAGAAGACAATTATTTTTTAAAAAAAGATGGTTTAATAAAAAAATTATAAAATGTACATCATGGAAACAATTATAAGAATTTTTAATTTGACAATCTCTTTAAAAATACATAAGATAACATAATATCTTCTACTCTTCCTCCACCAATAAATATTTTTATTTATAAAAAAACCCCTTTTTTATTAGAAAGAAAACTCCAAAAGTTGATAATAACGCCATCAATTCGAAAGTGATTAAAAATATTCTTAGATAATTGCATACTAAAATTTACCCTTCAATTAAAAAAATATTCTAGACCCTTCTCCCCTTCCATACTTAAATAAGGGAGTATTGAAAGAAAGCTGAAGAATACTCTATAAAATTACACTACATGAGGGGAAAATTACTATATCAGCCGATAATAATTCCTGACAAGATTATCTTTCAATTATTTTTTTTTAAACTTCAGTCCCAAACGTATGAGTTCCTTCATATTTCCAATGCTATCGGGAATGTCAATCAAGTCGTTATGTTGCAAATTCAGGGAGGTTAGTTGAACGCATTTCCCTATTTCTGTTCGTAAATTTGAAAATGAAAAAAGGTTAATTAGAAATATAATTTTATCCGCAAATAAATTAAATGACATCTATTTCTTTTAAGATAAAGGGAAGGTAAATTAAACCGCGTTTTTAATGAATAACAGCAATAATCGAAATACCAGTTATTTCCATAATTGTTTTTAAACGTTTATTCCAATCCAAAAAGTAGCGAATATAGGTTCAGTTCAATCTCAGATAAAAATAAGATTCATTGTTCAGGTTCAGTTCATAACAAATAACAACATAGGTTCGATTTGAACATTTAAAAGCCTGTTCGAATCTTTTCGAATAAAAACTTATTAGAATTATGTAAAGAAAATAACATTTTCTATAATACAATCTCACTATTCCCTAAAAAATAATATTATCCATATAAAATTAAAATATATTCAAGATCCTATTCCGTAAAATTATATTCTAGTGGAGAAAAATCTTTTAAAAAGAGTTCAGGCCAGTAACCTGTTTAAAACGGTTCCGGTTTAGATTTCTGATTTATTCCGATTCAATAGTATTTAATTTATTCATATATCTCATTAGATAAAAGCATTAATTATACTATTCATACAAGCATACAAATAAATGTTTATTAAATTATAATATCACGAATAATGAATACACACATTAAGTGTCAGATCAAACGATGCAAATTAAAACTAAATTTTTATTTTTTAAAAAAATCCCATCTTTAAGTATAATAAAATTTATATCACCTAAATTAAAAAAAAGAAGAAGTATAAACAATAATATTATAAAATAAAAATATTAATACATTAAGTTGAAAATTATTTTATATATATATATATTATTAATATTTTTTCAGATAATATTTATGTAACAAAATTTATTTTAGATATATAGATAATGAAGGTCAAAACAATATGGAGGAACCAGGAACTTTTGCATAGATACCGGTTCTGAATTCTAATTTTTTTTAAACAGTCGGGTTGAGTATCGGATTTTATAAAAAATATATTTAATATTTATTAGTATATATTTTAAAAAAATAAAATAATAATTAATCGACAGTATTCAATAAATAATTCATCAATGGCTATTTCCAAACAAAAAATGTTTTCAGATCGATTTTCTAAGCATGTTTCCAGATATTCATCTTTATTTTATCCATATATACAAAAAATGGTTGTTCTCGAATGGCATTTGTGGCCTAATCGGTGAGTGCATATGTCACACCAATCGCATAATCTGAGTTCGAATTCAGCAAGGATCGGGTTTAAGAAACCATGTGGATCTGTGCTACGGGTTATAGTATATAGAATATCGGAAGCGACCGCGTGATTCCGTTAATATATATGTTAAAATAAAAAAAAGACATATTGCATTTTAATAAAATTTGGTCGTTGATTGGCAAATAAATATGCTATATAATGAACAATTTATAATGAATTACAGGAGAAATCTTTCGAAGAATTCATTTTTGTCAAGAATAATATAATATATATTATATGAGGATAAAATTAACAGGGACCCACATCATAACGAATATTGGTTCGGTTCGGATAAAAATAATGGTTAATGATTTCGCGAATTCGTAAAAAATATTAATATCGGTTCGGTTTAAACCTTTACAGGTGGATTAGAATTGTGTTTAAAAAAAGGAATAATTTTAAAATTTACTATTCTCTAAAAAAATAATATCGAGGCGTATTCAATTAAAATTTCAAGATTCTCTTCTATCAAATTTTATCTATAAGGAGGAAGAATAAATCTTAGGGCTAAGAACCCTTCTATATGCTAACTTGGGTAGCTGAGCATCGTCAAATTGCAATTTGAAAAATATCTAAATAAAAATCATTACTTAGGAATGTGCCGATTTAAAATTTTTAACCGATACCGACGATATTTTTTTATTTACCATCTATCCTTGAACGAATGTTATAAAAAAAACAACTAGCTTTCACGAATGATTAAGTGCATTTAGTTTTTTTATTCTCCAAAAGTTTATAATCACATTTAAAATATGGGAAATGTTCATAATTAAATGTATAAGGCTAAAATCTTCTCGAATTTCGCCAATAGATGTCCAAACCTTTCTACCATCTGCGGGAAAAATTCTTCTTAGGTAATTTTTTGGCTAAAATATTAATTAAGCCTTTTTTAATCGGCGAAATGAGCAGCTTAACAACACTGGCTGTAAATGAGCTTCTAGATATCTTAAAATATTTTTATCATTTCAGATGTAATATAACATCATATTTTTCTTTTAAAATAATTCGATTAACGTTACAAATAAATTAAACTTTGGTCCCTTTTATTAGCTTATTATTATTATGAAATTAATTATATATAATCAAATAACCAAAAATGAAAATATAGGATCGGTTTTTGAAAATGTCGGCCCGATTCGATTTATAATATCGGCCCTAATAACTACTGACACTTTTTAATCAAAATTGATTATTAATAATCTCTAAAAGAGCTAAGATATCAAAAGGTTCCATCCGTTCCTTAATGTAAAATATAAGTGAATTTAAAAATATTGAAAATCTTTTTTAAAAAAGGAGGGACTGTTAGAATATGCATATCTATACTATATTATATTAACAAATTTTTATATTCATTACATCGTATTTTATAATGCACTTTTTAAAATAAATAATAATATCGAATTTCAAGCAAAAAATTCATCGCAATTTTCTTAGCCCGATTTTTTTGATTTGCACTTGGTAACTATTTTTTAAAAAAAATATGTCGCCATTGGTGACTGTATAGTGGCTACTTTATTGGCGTGTTCTACTCAACTTTTAAAAACTCATTTTTTTCTTCTTTCTGGGTTAAAATTTTATCCGTATATATATAAGATAAATATACCGAGTATTAATTATATTTATAAACGTCCTAATTTTGCTTTATTCTTATCATTTTTAATTTAAAAACACATAAATTCAGTATCTTGCAAGTAGTGGATGTTAAATTACTTAACTTTGTCCAGCTCCAGCATGTTGTAGCCAGGCTTTTAGCCTAAAAAATGACTTAAACCTCAACTTGAAGATTGTTTAAGACTAAAAACTTGGTAAAGCCTTTACAAAGATTTGCTCGATCAATTTATTAAATTTTAATAATCCATATTTCAATAGAATAATCCAACCAAAACTATAAAAAAAAATTATTTCACAAAATTGAAGATAATCTAATGCAAATTTTTTTTTAAAGCTAGCACAAAAAATGTCAGATATTTTTAGTACATTTTTTTTAAATAAGCCTCCAACATTTAAAAATTTTTTTTAATGACCATTTATTTGTTATTTTATTTTATATAATTTAATTTATTTTTGACATTTTGCAGAAAAACCTTTTGATATTATATCTAAAGACCCCAACATATTATTGAAATTCTATATATATATATATATATATAAAGTAAATTAATAATGTAAATTTGTATAAAAAAATAAAGAATACATAAAAAAAAATTTAGAGTTTTCTAAAAATATCAACTTTTTTTAAAAATAATTAAATTTTATCAACTTGGAATTTCCAATATTTTCTAACCCATTAAAGGAAGTCATGATAAGTTAGCTATCTAGTTCCTACCAAAATATTTTAAATAAATCTAAATTAATATAGTAGCACAACCCAATTTACAGTTAATTTCAAAATCAATAAGATAATTAGTTATTATGTTAAAATGTTATATAAAAATTTAGATCAATACAAAGTATTATCTTTTAGAGCACAAGTTGGCACAAGAAAATGTTTGCAGACTCATAAAATTTTTATTTTGAAGGAAAAATACATAATTTTCCAAATTGTTAACTTAAAAAAATTGGGACTTCTGGTACCCAGGATTACCAGGTCTCCCTCTTCCCAAGCCATATTTTTTTCAACATAGATAGAATTATCTATCACAAATCTCCCATAATAATAATCTCTTGAAATTTTAAGAATTATCCCACATTAAAATTCACATTATATTTAACATAATTAAATGATAAATAATAACTTTTAGAAATATTATTTGTAGATATAAATTTAAAAAATATTATCAACAAATATGTCGTTTATTTTATTAATTATGTAAAGCGATTTCCTTAAATAAAAAAATCTCAGAATCCAATTTTTCCTAAAGGAAGTTAATTTTCAAATTATAATAGTAATTGTTTTATACAACATATGAGACATAACTAGTGTTGTTAAACAGCTCGATTTTTTAAAAATGGCTAATCACTATTTTATAGAGAAATATATTATTCAAGCATGAAGATTTTGCTCATAAATGGCACAAAGGTCTAGACATCTATTAGCAAAATCTCTAGTCTTAGGGAATATTTTTGTGGCTAAAATATTGAGTTAGCCATTTTTAAAAATCGGCTCAAAATGAGTCGTTTAACAACACTAGCCATAACGTTATTTGTTTATTTTGGGGGTACATTGCCTTGTATAAAATATAAATTCAAGCAAATTCCATCGATTTTATTATTATTTTTTAAATATAGATCTTTAAAGTTTAATTACCAAATTTCTAAAAATATCACATTTAAAAGATATGACATATCATCATTAGCCAATTTTTACTGAGATATAAGAAATAAATTAAGAAAATATATAAAATTTGGCTTGCAAAAGAATTTCTTTGGGTAACAAAAATTCTGGATCGATTAATTTACTTTTCTATAATAAATAAAGCTTACAAAAAAATAATAAAAATTAAAACTCTAAGAATAAGATATTAGGGATTCTGAAGAATATAATATAATTGTAATAGAAACAATTAGCCTCAAAGGCAATTAAATATATGATGAATTTTAAATATATATATTATTAATTGTGTATGACGATTAATTGCTTGTTTTATAAAATATATATATACTGCGGTACAAAAGGTAAAAAGTTGTTAAATTTATAATAAAAATTGATTTCATCACAATAATAACTACTATTGCTTCCAAATTGAGCATTTAGTTTTGTTATATTTTAAAAGAAAATATGCATCATTGTTTAAATTGAAGAGGTATATTTTAAAAAAAAGTTGTTAATATGTTTTAAAAAAATAACATTAAAAATAAAAAAGTTCTAAAATTTGTTTGATACCTACCATTAAATAAGTTGTAATTTAGATGCACTATAATGAATAAAATGATAGTAAAATGGGAGTCAAATAGCCCTGTTTCATTGTCAGGCCAAAGATCTAGTTTTTGAGTTGTAGGTTCACAAAAAATAATTTATCCCCAGGTCTGTAAAAATTTTGCACAATTACCAACCTCATCTCAATAATATCTTTAATTTATAGCATAACCCCTCCCCTAACAAACTATCAGAGCTCTGATTAACAGATATTTTTAAAATAACCTGTAGGTAAATGTTCCAAATGATTGTGTGATAAATCCAATGAAGATAAATTTGTCAGATTACCTATACCTTTGGGAAGTTCTTTAATTTTATTTTCTCTCAAGCTTAATACTGTTAAATTCTAAAAAAAATATTCAATTATAAATATTATAAACTATACTCACAGATAAATTTTTAATGTCATCATCTACAGTTTTGATCCTATTAAATCGTAAATGTAAGGTGTTTAAGGTATTTAACTGATAAATGACTGCAGGAATCTAAGTGAGAGTTTAATTAATAAATATTACAATTTTTTAACTTCATTTAGTTTATTATGTCTTAAATCCAAAAATTTTAATTCTTTTAAATTTGACAAAGATTCAGGAAGTGATGATAAAGAATTTTCACTTAAGGCTAGTGTCTGCAAATTAGAAAGATGTCCAAATTCACTAGGCAGTGATGTAAGCTTATTACCATACAAAAATAATTCTTGCAATTGTATAAGCTAATTTTTAAAACAAAAATATTACATCTTTGTATTTAAGAATACTTCTTTGATAGATGTTGGAACAATAGTTATCTAAATTTCTAAAATATAACAAAATCAATAATATATATATACTTGAGATTTGCTTAAATCGATCCGCTTTGCATTTTCTTCCTTGCATTTATGTAATTTTTTATTAATATCCTAGAATAAAAAAAGCTTTAATTATTTTTAATTAAGTATACTAACTAAATCTGTTTGTAGAGTAGGTTTTTTCTTAGATGTAGGCTTAGGTTTGTTATTACCAGGTTGAGTAACCATGACTTGTTTTGGGCGAGATGCCTCAATTAAAGGCCAGGTTGACATTTAATATTTTAAACTGAGTTTAATAAAAATTCATAAAGATTACATTCCGTAGTGCCCAACTGATTAGAAGAGTAAGGGCTTTCTACCGAATTTTAAAATATCAAAATTAATTTATGAGTTTATTAGTAAAAAGGATTATATTTTATATATTTTTTATAATGATATTGACTTTAACTTAAATATCTTAAACATTTGCAGGTACCTCTACCTAGTGTTGTTAAAAAGTGCGTGGGTCGATTTTTAAAAAAGGCCTGATTGAGATTTTCGCCAAAATAATCTTATGTAAGTCTCGAGATTTGTCAAATAGATGTCCAAACCTTTTTGACATCTATGAGAAAAATCTCCAGGCCTATATAATATTATTTTGGTTATTAATTGGGTCGTTTTAAAAAAAAGACACATGTCCTAGTTTGTAATATTATTGTTGATATTTATTTAATTATTAGAATGTCAATCATTTTTATGATGATATTTTTTTTCCTCGTTTTTTTATAATCGATGTTTTAAAATGATTATGATTTTTGTGAAGATTCTTTTCAAAATATTATTAATTTTTTCAGGATTTTTTCATATTTTAATAAAGATTATTAATTCTATTAGGATTTTGTCATATTTTAATAAAGATTATTAATTCTTTAAGGATTTTTTCATATTTTAATAAAGATTATAAAGTTTTGAGTAAGTTTTTTTCGTATTTTTGGAAGTACTTCTATTATTTTTTGAAAGTACGTTAAGTTTTTGCTTTTTTTTAGATAGTGTTGACCGTGTTCCAGGATTCGAAATCCAGGATTTATTCGTTAATCAAAGGTAAAAACAATTTTTTTATATATATTTTAAATTTTTTTTGGACACAACGCAATTTATATATATATATTTTTGAAAGTCCTTACACCGTAAAATAATTTAAAATTTTGTAGGATAGAATTTTTAAATTAATTCGATTATGTAAGGTAAAGAAGCGAATTTTTAAATATTTTTAAATTATTGTTTTACCACGGCAAATTTAAAGTAATATAAATTTTTGAGATAATGAGATGGGCTTTATGTTTAATTTTGATATTGAGTCTAGCCTATTTAATAAAATTTCGGGGTATCAGTATCAGGGTATTACTTATCAAAATTTTTATAAAATGGTTGATAAATTTGATGTAAATAATTTGTTAGTGACAATATTATTATTGGTCATAATATATGGCTTATCTATAATAGTAAAAATTTTTTTCTGAAAATGTACCTTGGTTGCGACCAAGGTTTATAGTAATTGGAAAAAAGACATTCCGGTGTCAGCTGATTGTTTGGAAAAAATTTCGGTCTTAAAAAGTAATTTAAATGTGGTTTTAAATGAAATCAAGAACGGCAGACCAGAAATATAGAAACGTTGAAATGTAATAACGATGAACGTTTGGAAATTGTGGAGAGATATATGATTATCCTCCGGGAATTGAAAGAAATAAAAGAGGTGATTAAGATCATATATCAGGATGCACATAAATTGATTAATTCTAATAATAATGGTGGTAAAGGCCAGATATGTGGTCAGACGGGGTCAAATGGAAAATATATTTCCAACAAAAAAATAGTTTCTCCGGGAATAAATATATTATTGAAGATTTTAGATGTACCCGCTGTGGTTATAAAGGCACAGGGTAGAGACCTGTGTGGTCAAAGAACAAAATTTTCGAGAGGGTTTTCCGTTAAGGAAATTGGTACTGGAAAATTCTAATGTTAGAAAAATTTCTGGTACTAACACGAATAAATTTGAGGTTCTACAATCAAATTATGGTAAATCCCGTTTGTATTTTAAGTGCATAGGCGTAGCCAGGATTTTCCTAAGAGTTGGTATTAAAAAATTATTGGGGGCTTCGCCTCCAGACCCCCTTAGGGGCGGGCCTTTGGACCGCTTTTGCCCGGCCTTCCGCCGATTTACCTTAGTCTATATATAGTCATAAAATATTTTTACAAGATAAGAGGTTAATTTTAATAAAAAAATAAGCCTGGAACAAATATGAAATATATTTTTATTAGTTTATATAAAATATAATAAATTACTTGCATATACATTAATATAAAAGCATGGTAATAATTTCCAAAGAAGTATAAGAAATTTATTTAGAAAAAATAAGTAGGCATATAGTTGATATTCTTCTATTATATAGAATTAGTTACAAAATACTAGGTAAAATTACACTTTTACAGACATATTTGACAGTTCGAGAATATATTAGAGTTAATATTTTAAAAAATTTTACTAATCAATGCTCTTGATAATAAATATCAGAGACCTGCAGAGGTACCATTTGCACGGCCCGACCCGGCCCGGTGTAGGATTGTGAAAGCAATACCCATTGTAGTTTCAATACTGTATTGATATTATCATTGTAGATTCAATACCGTATTGTTTTTACAATATTGTAGAATCAATACCGTATTGGTTTTAAAATACGTTTTCATCGCTTCAAATATATTGGCGGCCATTAAAATTGTAAAATATTTATTATTATACATTTAATTTTCGCTTCAAATATGTTGGCGGCCATTAAAATTGTAAAATATTTATTATTATATATTCTTTTCATCGCTTCAAAAATATTGGCGGCCATTTTCGATTTGTAAAATATTTATTTTAAATAGATTTAACTTTTTTGAAATTTTTTGAATTACATAGATTAAAATATATATTGTAAACATGTTAAATTAATTTCAGTGAAGATGTACCAAAAGTGACAATTGTCATATTGTAAAATATTTATTTTTTAATCGCGTCAAAAATATTGACGGCCATTTTAGATTTGTAAAAAATCTATTTTATATATTTAATAGTTAAAATATATTTAAATGATTTTCTATTCTTTTATATAATTTTATTAAGGAATTTATATTTTACTATTTTTTATATCCTGTATATTTTTATTTTTTTACTCATATTTATTAATTTTCTCCTTATGGTTAAAATGATATTGTTTGTTCAACTCCATCCTGTAGAAAATTGTAATTAAGAACAATGTACACAAATTTTCTTCATTTACCATCTTATTATTGGGATCAAGCCTTAAAATTTTAATAAACAAGCTTAAGCTAATCACAGATATGAGGGTTTCTATTACAACAAAGGATCTCAATCATTATCTCTATCACTATTATTATGCGATCATTGCCTGTTGGCTCATCTTAAAATCTTCATTCCTATCTCAAGCCTTAAAATTTTAATAGACAAAAGCTAAATTAAGTCAAAGCATCTCAATAAATATCTATTACTGAAATATGTTTTAATCATTTCCTGTTGGCTTCTTAATCGTCATTTCATTTTTTAGATGCATATATAATTTTATTTCTATCTGATTAAAATTACATTTATATTTATGGAACACAAAATATTTTATAAAATCAAATTATATATTTTTTATTGCAATAAAAGACTGATTTCTTAATACTATATAAATAAAAAGGATATATCATTTTATTTCAAAAATACAAGAAAAATATTATAAAAAGAAAATATATCCCAATAACGGAAACATGATTATTACAAATTGAGTATATATTATATTATAACACGATTAAAATGATCAGAAGTCGCATTTATTAAATATATATTTAAATTAAAATTTTTTATACAGTTATTTTTTAATAATGAGGAGTATGTAATGTATTTCATCTCATTTCCATTTTTGCAATATATAATGATAGGTGTTTGAAAAAATGTAGCAGATGCTACAATATCTAGTTCATCTGCCCACGTTCCAAGTTGATATTTTTTTGTATCAACTATATGTGTGATTATATCTTTTCCAATAAAATCACTAAAAATATCTTTATTTTCAAAATGCATCATATAAGAGGTAATAGACCCCCTTATAATTGCATGGTGATCTTCACTCCCTGAGATTTCTTTGCTTAAGCACCGATAAAAACAATTACCGTCACCAAGAACTATCTCAAAATTAGGAGGATAACTTAAATTTTTAGTTTTATCATTGCTTTCTGTTAATAAAGAATATGGGATGCCCAACCTCTTAGCATGATATTTCTTCCATGCATAATTGGTGGCAAGGTAAGGTAACGGAGAAGTATCAGGCTCCTTATATAATATTATCTTAATATCGGTAGAATCTTCTTTTGCCTCATCTCCGTTATTAGATTGTTGGATGTAGGGCTTAAGGTTACACCCGTTATATTTTTGCTTTAATGGAGTATTATCTTTATTACTCACACTATAAATATCTTTATCATGTATTTTATCAATTACATATGGACCAAGCCAAGGATCAGACATTTTTCCACCCTTTCGATCCGCACGACGGGAGTTCCAGATTAGGACCAGTTGTCCAACTTCATACGATATTTTATCCTTTTGCCTTTTTTGATAATCTCCTTTTTGTCTATCTTGGGCAACAATTATATTTTCTTTCGCCTTTTTCCATACGACTGACATGCTCATTATTCTATTTAACAATTCACTCTCGTCAAAGTCATTATCAATATTATTTACATAAGAGTTTTCAGGATCATTATTTATTTCCTTAATAATATCAGGCTTAGTTGTGGAATTTAAGTCTGATGGAAGCTTTGCATTCCGACCATATAACATATAAAATGGGGTAAATCCTGTTGATTTGTGTACACTTGTTCTCATTGCAAACAGTACACCTGGAAGAACTTTAGGCCACTGGGTCTGATCATTTCCTAAAACCTTTAACATTAGGTTTTGAATAGTGCGATTATTTCTCTCAGTTAAGCCATTAGCTTGAGGATGGTACGCACTGCAAATGCGTTGCTCTGTCCCGGTCATTTTATGCAGTCTAGTAGCCATCTCATTTACAAACTCTCTTCCTTGATCATTGATTTGTATCTATATTGTATAAAATGAAAAGTTTATAAGATAGAATTATCATAAATTCATATTTTTTAATCGATATGTATTTATATAATTTGATTTACATTTGCGCAGCCATGGCGGCAAATCAGACCGTATATAAATTTACATGTCTCATTGGCTGTTTTGGATTTCATGGGTTCTGCCTCAACCCATTTTGTGAAATAATCAGAGGCAACGGCAATACACGTGTAGCCTTCTTC